TGGTGAAACCACTGTGGAATCAGTTTGGAGATTCCTCAGTAAACTAGGTCGAGAGGTCCCACTCAATCCAGTTATTCCCCTTCTGGGTATTTTCCCAGAAGATCTGAAAACAACATATCACACCGATATATGTGCACCCATGTTCACAGCGGCACAACTGGTAATTGCTAAATTGTGGAAGCAACCCAAATGTCCATCCACTGAGGAATGGATTAAAAAACTGTCATACTTTTATATAATGGAATATTACTCAGCTATAAAGAAGGATAAACTTGAGGCTTTCATAAGTAAATGGTCACAACTAGAGACCATACTCATAAGTGAAATAAATCAGACCTGTATGTGTAAGCATCATATTGTCTCACTAGTGTAAGATCTGAAAAAGTGAATAAAAACTAGAAGATACAGACATTGTGAAACAAAAGGAAAGTGCTCAAAGGTAAAGGGCATCTGGGGTGTGGGAAAAGAGAAGGGAAAGACAGGGAAATTATGTACGTATGCATATACAGGACAGCTAACATGTCATCTACTGCTCTACAGAAAGGAACAGTTAATGATTACTTGTTTGATCAATCTTGTATGTCTCTATTTGTTTTCCTGAGAAATCACTTTGAAGATATCAATAAGAAACACAACAACCATTGTTAATTTCCTACAACTTGGTCTATAACTCTGTTTTGTTTGTATTGCTCTTATGCTATTTTTGTAAATGGATGTCTGTTTGTTAATATGTTTTCCTTCTTTTATTTTTTAAAATAAAAAAAGAAGTAATTTCTCAGGTAACAAAAGAGATGATGACTATAATGAAGGACATAGCTAGTGAATCTAGAGTAGATATAGATAAAAAATAGAGGATTTAATGCCACTGCTCCTCAAACTCTTTAATGAAATTCAAAGGGAAGCAATATTCTTCAACTCATTCCTAGAAGCAAGCATTACCTTGATACTAAAACCAGAGAAAGACCCAATCAAGAAAAAGAACTACAGACCAATCTCCCTAATGAACATAGACACAAAAATCTTCAAAAAGATACTGGCAAACAAAATTCAGCAAATGAGCAGAAGATTATCCACCATGATCAAGTAGGATTCATCTCAGGAATGCAGGGGTGACTCAACATATACAAACCAATAAATGTAATAAAGCACATTAAAAGCATTTGACAAAGTCTAATACCCATTTATGATAAAAACCCTACAGAAAATTGGAATCAATAGTCTTTACCTCAATCTGATAAAAGCCATCTATGACAAACCAAAAGGCAATATTTTACTAAATGATCAAAAACTGAAAGCTTTCACTCTAAAATGAAGAACATGACAAGGATGTCCACTATCCCCACTCATATTCAAAAATTTTCTGGAAATATTAACCAAAGAAAGAAATAAAAGGAAAAAGGATAGAAAGAAAGAAATTATTATTATTTATAGATGACATGATGCTCTACATAAAAGATACTAAAAATTCCACCTAAAGAAGTGGATTTAAAAACCAAATTCAGCAGCATACCTGGATACAAAGTCAACACTCAAAAATCAACAACACTCCTATACACAAATAACAAACTCATTGACACAAATTAGGAAAGTCACACCTTTCACAATGTATCCAAAAAATTTTAATATGTAGGAATCAGTCTAACAAAGTAAGTAAAAGACCTTTACATTAAAAATTATAGTATTCTGGAGAAAAAAAGATTGAAGATGATATCAGAAAATAGAAAGCCATTCCTTGTTCTTGGGTAAGAAGAATCAAGACAGTGAAAATGGTCATACTTCAAAATTGTTATACAGATTTAATGCAATCTATATCAAAATACCAATACCATACCTCACAGAATTAGAGAAAACAATACTAAAATTCATTTGGAACCAGTAAAGACCTAGAATAGCAAAAGCAATTCTGAGTAACAAATGCAAGGCAGGAGGCATCACAATTTCTGAACTGAAATTATACAAAAAAACTACCATGATATAAATGGTATGGTACTGGCAAAAGAAAAACAGACCTGAAAATCAATGGAACAGATTAGAAGACGCACAAAAACTCCAAACATACTCAGCCACCTTATCTTTGATAAAGGGGCCAAAAACTTCACTGGAAAAAAGACAACCTCTTTAATAAATGGTGCTGGAAAAACTGGCTTTCCATATACTAAAAATTAAAACTAGGCCTGTAGCTTTCAACATGCACTAAAGTAAAATCAAAATGGATCAAAAATCTAAATATCAAAACAGAAACACTAAATCTGCTGGAATAGAGAATAGGTGGAACTCTTGAAGACACTGGTACAAGCAAAGTCTTTATGAGCAAAGCCCCAATTCCACAGGAAATATTACAGTGAATCAACAACTGAGATCTCATCATATTAAACAGCTTTTCCACAGCAGAAGAAACTGTCAACAGAGTGAAGAGACAACCCATAGAGTGGCAAAAATTTTTTGCCAGCTGTTCTTTAATGTACTGATATCTACATATAAAGTACTCAAAACATCAGATGCACTGAATTTAAAGACCTAGTTCAAAAGTGGGCATCTTAAGTGTCTAGACACTTCTCAGATGAAGAAATACAAATGGCAAATAAATATATGAAGAGTTGTTTAACATCACTACTCATTTGAGAGATTCAAATTAAAACAATGCTGCGATTCCATCTTATTCCAGAAAGAATGGCTATTATCAAGAAATCAACCAGGAACAAATGCCTGTGGAGAAAAAGGAACCCTTCTCTACTATTGCTGGAACTGTAGACTGGAGCAACTACTGTGGAAATCAGTATGGCAATTACTCAAAAAACTAAAACTACAGGTTCCATTTGACACACTTATTGACTATCTGTCAATAGATGAATGGATAAAGATGTGTTGTTTTATACAATGGAGAACTACTCTGCCATAAAGAAGGATGAACAAGAAAATTTTAAGTAAATTGTTGCACCTTGAGAAATACTCTTAAGTGAAATAAGTTGGATACACGTTTAAATATTGCATTGTATCTCTGGGGTGAGAAACTGAAAGTGTAAATAGTAACCAAAGTATATAATAGATGTTGTGAAATAGAAAAAACATTCAAATGGGAAGGAGAACAAGGGAGGGGAATGATGAAAAGGAAGGAAGGGAAAAGGGAAAATAAGAGACTATAAGGAAAAAAACGGAAACAAAGCTTTTGTAAATAACAATGGGAAGACGGGTTGAAGGGAGGGGAGGTTATTGGATAAAAAAGAAGAATCAAGATATATTATGTACAGGTACAAATTCCTATATGTATTCAGTAAAATTAATTTTAAAAATTAAATGGAACTTCAAGATTAAAAAAAAGGACAAAGGGAACCTAAAAAAGACAGAGCACATGAGAAAGATGACTTTAGTTTTTACGCTGTTCTCATTTTGAAATAATTCAATATTTATCAAAAAAGTTGACAAAATATGGCAAGATTTTTCTCATAGGCCCTCCTTCAGATCCTCCAAATGTTAGCATGTCACACTTTGATATCAAAATCAGGAAATTAGCATTGATATAATGCTATTGTCTAATCCATACCCTTCAAACTTCATCCATGACTCCATCACTGTCATTGTTTGGTCTGGTTGCTTTCAGATTTACCACAAGCAATACCTGGCCCCATAATACAGCGTCTCCTGGTTCTGTGGTGCCACCTACTTCTCACTGTCTCTGGCACTGCTAAGCCAAAGTTCATTCCCACTCCCCCTCCTATGGAGCAGGCACTCTCCACACACTCTTCGGGCAAATAAATAACATTGCCCTATGCTCCCAAGGTCTGATACGAATTTCAAGTTTCTGTCTTCTCAAGGGATTTGGCCCAAGACCAAAGAGATAGGAGGCTGAGGATCGTGTCAACAGCATGAATCCATTCTCTCAAGTTTTTTGGGTAAGAACTTAATATCACTCCCAAATTTTGCTGTCTTGGAGCCCTAATTCTATATACTCTCACATACTCACTATTATCCACACACCTCTAAGGAGGAAAATGGTCATGCTCAAAAGGAGAAAAATGAAAAGGTTTAATCATGCATGCCTCAGTAGGAGAAATACGATATGATATCAAAATATGGTATGATATTCTCACTTCTGAGAATAACTTCTTCAGGAGAAAATAAACATATGATCAAACATAATCAATAAAATCCAAAACAAATGTAGAACCAAGCAGCTAAAAATAACATATGCATGGATACACATTGCCACTATTTGATCCCCATACATCTGTCAGTTCACCCAAAATATTCCCACAGAAGAAGTGCTTGATAACTTAACTATTGCCATCCTTCTAATAGAAAGCTGTGAGCTGGGTGACCTGTCTGTATTCTATTATTCTCTTCTAAGTTATAATCCTTCTGATGATTTCTGTCATTCCTCCTCAATTTCACCACTTTTCTACTTTTTAAATATTTTTTTTCCTTTTCCCTTCCTTCCTTTCTCCCTTGCCCCACCCTAATTCTTCTTTCCTTTTGATCAAGTTCTTCCCACTTCACCATATCTGTTATACATTTTGGTCCTTATTTACTCTTTCATTTTCTCACACCAGGGAAACAATGTGATGCATGTGAGTCTGACTTATTTTACTTAGGAGTATGATCTCAATTACTTCTCTATTTTGTTTTATTAGATACGTATGGCTGCCGAATGCTGTGAGCATAACACATTCTATAGTTCTGATGGACACCATGAACTTCATGTTTAAGCATATTTTCTCATTTGGGCTTCTTGCTAATTAAGGAAAAACAAAGCCTTATCTATACACCACACATATATACACAGAGGTGCACACACACATAAATTAATCTCATGACCACATACTCAGGTAGACTTTTTTTTTTAAACTAAGGGTAGAAGAGAAGTAAATATTGTTTTTACTTTTTGTCTTACATAAAATTTTATTAGGACATACTATTTTTAAAATTTAACTTAATCTTCTAAATGTTAACTTAGAAATGACATGTAAATCATAATTTCTATTGCAAAATAAATTATCACAGACTACTATAGATATGCTTTATTTAACTTTCAATACCAAGAACAAAGCTGTTAGTCAAAAACAAACATCTAACCAGCAACAACACTTTGCCACCTACTGTTTAGTATCTTGTTCCAAACCAGTGGTTTATTTTTGCTACACTGAGGTAAAGGACCAGGTTGACAATGAAATATTCTTCTGTCTCTTCAATCCACACCAGTTCTGCATGCACTCTTCCTTCTGCATCTGTGTAGTCGACATAGTATGTCTGTCCTAAGAAATGAGGTCCATCTGAGGGGCAGGCAGCAGGCCTCATGTGGACTGCAGAGCTCAAGCACCAAAAGGGCTTCCTGTGCTCATCCAGAAGAGTCACATCCATGACAGCACAACTCTAAAAACAAACATAAAGATAAGGATTAAAATGGCCAGTGAGACCTGATTTGCACTCAATGTAAAACTGACTGGAAATGCTGGATGTGACATCAAACTCAGAATATTAGCATTGGCACTGTGTAACCTGTATGTTCTAGACCAGCAATGGTGAACCTTCTAGAGCTCTCAATGATACAAGAAAGCCTCTGTCCTATAAATAGCATTTACCTGGTCCCATCACTTAATACGTACTCCTGCAGACATGTGAGCCCCTGAGGAGCTCTTAGTACCAGAGAATTTACAGCTGAAACCTGAGATATGGAGTAAATCATGGCCCCTCCTCACGGTCTAGAGGCAATCCCTATTAAACAATGACACAGACATAGCAGTGCCAGTGCTGCTGAGAGGGAGAGGCCAAAGCACCCTGGAAAGCAGTGGTGAGATCCTCCTGGCTTCTCCACACACCAACACATGTCACTTGCCATTCTTTTGTAAAGGCTCCTCCTTCTCTGGGACTTGGGGTTTTCAACTCTTCCCCTTCTCCATCCTTGTATACCAACATTTTGTATACCAACCAACCAACCAACCAATACATTTTGTATACCAACATCCTACTCACTCCTTTCTTGAAGATGGGGGCACCAGACTGTCTGCCTCTGTGTCTCTTTCATTCCCAGGTCTCCCCATCACCCTGAGTGACTCCACACCCCTGAGGATCCCAGTGAGCCATGCAGTGCACTAGATACTCAATACTCGAGCTACTGACTCCTATGACCTACTTTCACTTCACTTGTTATTTATTCCCACCATTTTACCTATAGGCATACGACTTCTCATAAATGCTTTGCTTCCAAAATCCACACAGAAGCATACTTTTTCAGCATGTCTTTTCATCTTCCAGCTTACTAACTCAACTACTCCCACTATGGCTATACTTCAGAGCACCCACAGCATTTCCACACTGCAAGCCATGACTCAGTATATCCTGAATCACATTTAGTGGGGCACAATATATGTCAAAATAAAATAAAACAAAAAAATCAGCATGCATTGCACACAGTATAAGCATAATTTTATGAAGTTTGCTCTAGTGATGCACATATATGTGTGCTGGTAGGTAAACTGCAGAGGAAAATGTAAATAGGTTGGAAGAGCACTGTCCATGAACACCGCTCTAGAGCCCTCAATTCTTTCTTAGGCTTCCTGTCACCCAGTTTAAGATTTCCTTGCCCTTCACTGGACTAACCCCTTGCTGATGCACAAACCTCCCTTGCCCCTCTTTTATCACACCTGCCATCCAGGTCTAGCCTAACCCAGCCCTAGCTAAGCCTGATTATTTTCTCTGTCTGGATATGAGTGTCCAGCATGTAGAACCCACAGAGCTCATGGGTTTCCTAAGCACCCACAGCCACACCTCAGTATCACCTGGGGATTCTGTGGTGCGTCTCTAGGGGCTCACACCCTCCTTTCTGAGCAACTCTCCCAATCTCATCATCTCCCTCAACCCTTTACACCCTCCTCCTCTCAGGGTGCCTCTACAGATGAGCTCAATCCCACAGACAAAGATTTAAAAGGGCACTTTCCTTATCTTTCCAACATCAGAGCCACAACCTGCTGCCTCTGCTCCTGCTTTCTCCTTGCCTATGTACACATTTGTTTTTAACTTATTTTAATCCAATCCTGTTTGATCTGGCCCAGCAGCCTGGACCGTGGCGCATCTCCACTACCTCAAGGGTACAACTTCTCAGACTCAAGTGGGTACTCTCTACCACCCCACCAGCTTAGCCTTAAACATGTGTAAGTCAGTCCTACACTGGAGAAAGAATAGACAAATAATCTCCCTGGGCCCCACCACCTCTGGCTTTTTTCCTCCCTTCACACAGAGACCTCTATCTGTCTTTCTTGGATGTTTCCACATCTGTAACTTCCACTCATGCCTCAATCCACTCCAACAAGCAAGTACATCTGTCCATCTCCATGTCAGCAGCATTTAGTGTTACTTATCATTTGTTTTGAAAAACTGTCCTCCCAAATGCTTTCAGAATCTGCCACTCTGCAGCTTTCCACCAAGATTGCTGGAGGCCCTCACAGCTGGGTCTAAAACCCTGGCTTCACTATATATACTCCTACATAGAATCTGTCCACATTCACAACTCAAACTATAACTAATGTGCCTGTGAACCCTAAGTCTATCTGTAGATGGAACCATCTTTGTAAGCTCAAGTACCTGCTCAGCATCCTGGATGTTTCAAAGGTCCATTGAAATTATTCATCATGACTACATCCAAACTCGTGATCAGTCCAGTTAAACTGGGATTAGTGCGCTTAGAAAAGAGGCCCAGAGAGTTACTTCACCCCTTCCACTACGTAAGGACACAGTGGCAGGGTGCCATCCATGAACCAGAAATGAGACCCTCCCTACACACAGAATCTGCCAGTGCTCTGATCCTCACTTCCCACACTGCACAACTGAGAGGAATAAATGTTCACTGTTTAAAATCCACCCAGGTCCTGGCACTTTGTTACAGCAGCCCAAATGGACTAGGACAATGAGCTGCCCTTTCCTCAAGGAACCACAACAGAACCTGACCTCCTCCATTCACTCCCATCATCTGTGTTCAGGAGATTAATCTTTAAAAAAGTCAACTTGGTCATGTTACTTACAGTTTAAATCCTTCAACAGTGTCTGTTACTTTCAATAAAAGACCAAATTCCTTCCTGTTGCCTATAAGCACTGTGTCCACCTGCCCATCCACCTTTGTGTCATGCAGTGCCATCTCCTGCCATCTGTGTGTGCTGCCACATCAGCTTTTTATCAAGTCCATGAACATGCCATGCCCCCATCTGACAAAAGGTCATGCCTGAGCACCCTCTTCTCCCCTTCCTCTGTCTTAACCTTCAGAACTCAGTTCAAACACCAATCCCTCGAGAAAGTCTCCCTGACACTCCCACTTCACAGACCATAAGCGTAACAGGGAGACACACTGTGTTTTATTGGGTGGTGGTTTTTTCGTGGTCTCACTTCCTATGCCCCAGCACTTAGCTTGGTTCACCTTAGTAACCAGTAAATATTTGCTGATGAATAGATAAATAAAATGAAGGCTTGTCATAAAGGATGAAAAGAGTTAAGTTAGCAAAAAAGGAAGGAAAAAAGGGAACAGCATATGCGAAAAGGCTGAAAGAACATGGCACAACTGCATACTGAGGGTCAGTCAGCATGACAAGGACCAGGAGGGCCAGACTCCAGTGTCTTCAGCGCAGGGCTCAAGTCACTCCTGTCCTTAGAAATATGCCAGGTTCAAAACTCAATGCCTGCAGGACTGCAGCACCAATCCATGTATGCCCTGCTCTTTTAATCATGTTTGTTCTCATGGCACCAGCCACCTTAATCACTCACGCAGCCAGCCTCAGCACCACTGAGTAAAGCAGACAAGCACCCTTCTTGTGGAGCACAGACACCCACAACATGCTGAACCCATGAACTCAGCACGACCTCAGGCTGTACTGAACTCAACTCTTCCTGCATAAAGCAGAACCTAAGAACTATACTAAAATATCTACTTTAAACTAAAGTTGATGCCAAGCTCTATATAGATTTAGAAGTAACATTAAAATAACATCAAAAATATCAGGGCATGAAAGAAGAAAGTAAAGGGAGACATAAAGAAAAGCCTTACCAAAAGAAAATTCATCAGTCACAAATTCTGAGTGGAACTGAGAATAGACAGATCAGGAGAATATTTTATTGTAAATTACACTGAAAATTGCAGTTAAACTGCTTATGATAGGGTAGCCTGGGTATGCAAAATGATTTCAAAAAATAACGAGTAACCATCCATAAAGCAACTGTCCTGTGTGAATTCATTACAGACATGCAGTCATCCTAACCATCTTTACGATGCATTTGGTATTATAACCTGACTTAAAAAAAAAAGTCTGGTCTGCTTATAATATAATCATTTTGCTTTTAAAGTTGAACAGTCTACCACACCACCATGGGAGCTCCTAAGTTAGACTGCAAGGACACCAGCGCAGGATGCTTCTGATGGGTGTCATCAGTGTTAGATGTAACTGCACTCCTGAGCTCTGGGGAAGACTTCTGTTATGGAAACAGTGAAGCTCAAAGGATCAGAGACCCCTGTCAAGACAACATGTCCGTTCGAGGAAAATAATTCAACAGGACCCATCCTCTGTTCTTATCGTTAAAGGGTGTTTCCCCCCACCCCTTTTTTTGTCATGAGAACCAGAATCAATTTGGGTGATGGATTTTCCTACCAGCCTTTGCTCAGATGGGTAAAGTATTAGAAGACATCATAACAGAGGATATGGCTACAATTTCCAGGAGAAGCAGTTCCCATTTAACTCTGTTTGTAGTAGTTATATGCACCTGAGGAACATTTTCTAGCTCATGTCCTTGTTTAAAAAAAAAGCCTTTAACTCACTGAAAGCATTTTCTTAAAATACTTTTTATTGATTTACTATGCTTAAGGTAATCATATTACTGAAGGAAAATCCCTGAGCTGCATGGAAAAATGCAAAGAATATAACGTCATTTACCTGTCTTTTGTTTGGGAACTCCAAGGACAGATTAGTCTTCATACTGACTCCATTTACAAATGTCAAATGCAAATCAACCTACTCGCCCTCTGCTCTGAGACAGGGAACAGGCTGTTGCACTACTGTCCATCCTCCTTCTCCCAAAAACTATCCAGGAGCAGGAATTCACAGCAAAAGTGTCTGGAGCCAAGCCTTCCACTCCCTACTGCAAGAACTCCAAATCTTGTTTTCAGATTCAGCTGTTTTGCCATCCTGTATACTTAGGCCCACTGCTTTAGCAGCCTACACAATTGTGGCCTGCAGTTGACTAGAGGGTCTAGTTTTCAGGCTATGAGCTCAGCCTTTGTGAGAACTACTATAAGAAATGCACTGATGCACTCACTACTAAAAATGCTTTTTAGGATTTCATCTGCCTCTCCTACAGTTCTGTGGGAGACTGTTTTTAGTAAAGCTTTGTTTCTCGGTATAATTACTCTATTTCCTTTTATTCCTTTCAGTGTAGAAAAAATGACTACTTTCACCTTGCTCTAAACCATCAGGAAAAAAAGGACACATTTTTAAAAATCATCCTGATTTTTATTTTTCTATCCTGATATTTATTTTTCTATCGTGTTTATGTTCTACCTTTCTTGATCCTCAAGATCTATTTTGATTTTAATACTTTATTTTAGTTTTTTTTACAATAAGCCCCATGTAGGTCTATCAAAGCTCCATGTAGGTCTACAAAGTGTGCACTTAAAAACATAAAATAATATCCTCTAGTGTGTAATAAACATGACTTTTACCAAAGTCTAAACATTTGTTTACAGACAAATAAGAAGAATAAAACATATAATTGTATCCAGTACCAACTGGCCCAGGAGATAATAGCCCATTACATTGCTTGTGGTCTTGGTCATCATTATTAACACTCCTAGGAAGGTGTCCAGGAGATGAGTTCACTCACCCTGTGACTATGAATTCTGATTAATTCTATCAAATAAAGGTGGAGAGTAATGGCCCAGGGCAGCCACGGACACAGAATCATAGAAGACAATCAACTGTACATGAACATTCTTCCTCCTCCTCCTCCTCTTTCCTCCTTCACTTCACCCTCTCCTCCCTTCCCTACAATTCTCAGCACTAAATCAACTCTCTTACCCTGGAGGCTAAATTTTTACTTAACTACTTAAGAAGATTCTTATATCCTGGAATAAGAACTTATAGCTATAATAAACTTTAAGCTGGTATGGAGGGAGGAAAGTGTTTTGAGCAAATCCTGGTCCAACTTTTAGATTCATTCTCTCCATAGAACATACAGACAGGGTGGGGAGGAGTGGAGAGTGAAGCTAGTACAGTTCAGAAACTCTGCTGCAGTCCATCACCCTCCACGAAGAACACAGGTACTCGATAAGCGTTTGATGAAGGAATCAAGTGATGGCCAATGACGATGAGAATGTGTACAAATACATAACCAGGACAATTAACCCAAAACTTTAAAGGAAGCATTGTATATATACATCAATGAACATTTTTTTATACAGAAGCAGATTACTTGAAAAAAATAAAATAACTTTACCTCTACAAAGGCATCAAAAATATTAGTTCTCCAAGTAAGGCCAACTTTTCCAATAAGAGGAAGATGTTCTCTGCTATTTTTAAAATTTATCACAGTCAGCTTCACATATCCATCTTCAATGCATCCTGAAAGGGTTTAAGGTAGTTTCCATTACTATATTCCAACGCAGGACAGCACATCAACAGTCTTCAGATTGGCCACTCCTCAAGGGATATCTCATACCTAGATTCACCAGAGGGTATCAGCAGAGGCAGTCCTGAGGCCAGAGCAACATATCTATGTCCCAGAGATAGAAAGATGAATGTCTATTCTGGGAAAGGGATGCCAATGATGCCAACGATGAGTCAGGGTAAGATGGCTAGGGAGAGCCTGGGTACACACCATTACTAACAGAAAGTCTATAAAGAGGCTTTTCTCACTCAGTGCATTAGTCTGCTTCCCATTACTGTACCAAATACCTGAGGTGATCAATATATAAAGTCTGTGGATGTCTGGCCCCATTAACTTTGGGTCTGTGGTAAGACAGTACATCATGGCAGGGAGCATGGAGTAGAACAAGCTACTTAACACATGGCAGCTGGGAAACAGTGTTGCTTCACAAGCCCCTGCAAGGACATGCTCCAACAATCTGAAGACGCCCAACAAAGCCCTACCTCTTACGAGTTTCTACCATCCACAAATAGGGCCAAACAGAGGATCCAGCCTCTAACACACAGGCCCTTGGAACATTCCCATCCAAACTGTAGCATTTGGTCAAACTACAACACATTGGTCAACAATGGCAATAGAAAGCCAGGAATACAGAGCTTAAGATTAGAAATGGAGAGATGCCAAATAAAGTAAATCAGGGAGAGCGATCCATGTTAGCACTGCCCCCAAAAGGAAAGAATGGAGAGCAGCAAGGTAAGCGGAAGGACATAAGTGAAGGAGCCCAACACATAAAATACTCACCTTTCTACATATTGTAAGTGAGTAAAAGGCCTCACATGTGCTTATCAGCACATGAGGCCAAGCACTAGCCCTCCTCTAATTCACTCAGAGCCGGATACCAGCAACCTCACTGCCACTTATGGGCCTTCACCACCAAGCAGCACATATGTTCTGGTTTTCAAGAACTCTTGTGCCCATGGAGAGCCTGTAGCACTGCCCAGTTCCCATAATGATGGGCTCCATGGTCCATGTAATGCACATGAAGAGTGACTGTGAAACATAATCATACAATTACATCTTCACTCACATGCAAAACTTCTTCAGAGACAGATACCTGAACTGAGGTATGATGCACATCACAGGGCAAAGTAGATGGGAAATATGCAGAAGAACAAATGTTATGTAGTCTTGGGTTAGTTATTTCACGGGAGCCAAAGCTCTGTTCCAGAAGTACCGCACAGTATTTTCCAACTTAAGTGTTGCCAAAAGTTAAAACTGACACTTCCCCAGGGTCTTCCACTATGACAATAATGTCCTCTAAGGAGAAACACCATCAGAGGCAGGCACTCTGAGCCCTGCAGGAGGAATTCAGCCTGGGTGGCCATGCTGTTAGCTTCTGAAGGTCTTACTTTTGTCCCAAGGATGGAGGCAGCACATATTTTCTTTGGGGCTGCTGAGTAATTAACAAGAACTGTGCAGTTCCTCTGTCTACTCTCTCTAGGTATAGGAATGAATGCCAAACAATACTGTTCCTTCCCTGGTAGGTGTACTGTCACCTCAGCAGGACTGCACAGAAGCAGTAACAAAGTCTGTGAAATATAAGGACTCAATGGAGACAGAGCAGTGACATTCTGAACGGATCAGATGTGACCTTGCTCTGCTATGTACCACAGCACTGCCATGTGCAAAATCTAGAGAGACCTCTGGTGGCTCAACAAAGGCAAACCTAGGCAGCGGCATTTGGCTGTGTGGAACAGAAAACAGTGAAGCCATTTTCCATGCGGCTCATCCTCAGGACACTGTGGAAAACAGACCCCAAATATAATAGACCCCAAATTACATCTCAATAGCAATTGTCCAAGCTGATAAACATGACATTCTTATAGGAAGCAAAGCCTGTTATTTTGTTATTACCATATATTGTGCTGTTTCAGAACAATTATGAAGCTGCAATGCTTTAACAGATCTGACTCGTTCAGCAGGCTGTCTGTATCTACTTAAATCTGTAAGGCAGAAGGTTCAGCTCTGTTCACATTTAAATGATCTGCAACAGGGAATGTGTTGATTAAGTGTGTACACATGCATAAATGACAATCCACAGTACATACTGTAGACCTGCCATAAACTCAAGCATCCTATGTCTAGTACTTTAAAAGAATATTTTAAAATAATGGTAGTAGTTAGGTTTTATAGTTTTTCAATTCATAGGTGAGAAAACATAGTTTAACAGTGACTTGCACAACATCCAACCACTGGTAAATGGCAGAAGCATGATTCAGCACCTATTTTGTGTTCAGAACCTATACTATAAGAGATTAAAACACACACAAAAGGGGGAAACATACCTATCAGTTTATACAAAGGACGATTAAAATACATGGTGTATATTTAAATGTTTTAAAAATTTATTGTAAACGTGTGTATAAAAGACATACCACCATGTAATCGCCCTCAAAATACTCCCCATCACTTCAAACACACTTATCCCATGGTTCTTCCCACTTTCTGAAGCAGTTCTGAAAGTCCTCTTTTGTGAGTGTCTCCACAAGGTATGACCAAAAATATAATGAATGCCACTACCAAATGCCATTTAACAGATAGTTTCTTAAAACATTACAGTGTGTCCTCATCCACCTTATTCACCCAATCTGGCACCACGAGACTTCTGGCTCTTGCACAAAATAAAAATAATGATGAAAGGTAAATATTTTGAAAAAATCCATCAAGACAGCCATGACAGTAAACTAAAGACATAAAAGAGGATTTCCAAAACTGCTCCAGAAAGTGGCAAGAATGATGCGATGTGTGTATTCATTCAAAGCGGGGGGAGGAATTTTGAGGGGGATTAATGGTAATGTGTTTCTTAATGTAGTAATTTTTTTAATTTAAACATTCATTATATTTTTCTACCATACTTTCATACTAGTTAAGAACTCATAATGTCTATTTAAATTCTAAAAAGCTTTGTTTTTGTATTATTGCCAGTAGAGAACAATCTACCAACAAAGAACAAACAAGAGATACTGTTGTTGGAGACTGTAACCTGCCAGTACTGGTAGCATACTGGCTCAATATGAAATGTCCTCCTAAAGACTCTATATGTTGAGGGCTCAGTCTTGATGCAGCAATATTCAGAGGTGACACCCAGAGATGTGACTGGATCACAAGGTTGCCAGGGAACTGATCCACTGATGAGTTCATAGTTGAATAAGTTGTCAGGAGGTGGGGCCCAACTGGGGGAAGTAGGTCACTGGGGGAATTCCTTGTCCCCAGCTCTTTCCTCTCTGGCTCTTTTCTTCTTTCTCCTTCTTCAGCTGCCATGAAGTGAGCAGCTCTGTTCTGCCCATGCCCTCTCCACCATGACGTTCAACCACATTTTAGAAACAGAAGCAGCTGACCATGGACAGGAACCACAAACCATGAGCCAGAACAAACCTTTCCTCCTATAAGTTGTTTATATCAGATTTTTCTGTCACAGTGACAGATGACTAACAAAAAGATTATCTTCAAAATACAGTAAAATATAATTTAAATTTCATCATCTTGGCTTCCAGCATCAATGCACATATGAGCATCAACTCTGCAGTCATAAAGATCCCATTCCAAACCCTATCCAGCCACTTACTAGCCATGTAACCATTTTTAAGTTTCAAACTGAGTACAATACAGATACAAACAGAAAGCACCTTGGAAGGCTCAGTGAGGCCTAACTGAACCGATTATAAATATTAGTGTGACAGGGTAGCTTTTTATACACATCAGGCTAAGCATGCTGATGTACCTTATGTGCATTATTTCAATGATAATACTCTAAAAAGCCAAGGCTACTGTCAAATAGAAAATAAAGATATATCACATTCATGTACTGTATTAAAAAACTATTATTAAGATGCCCATTTACCCAAATATATCTATAGATTTAATACAATCACAATCATAATCCCAGAAGGCCTTTCAATAGCTCATAAGTAATTTAAAATAATATATAAATAATAAAAATAGACAAAATTCATGCAGAAATGGTAAAGACCTAAAATAATACAAATAATTTTGAAAAGAAAAAAGTTGACTTCAATACTTACTATAGAGCTACAGCTATCAAGACTGTGCTTCTAAAGTTACATGAATAGATCAGCAGAATAGATGAGTAAACAAACACAATAAACTTTTTACATGCAACTAATTTTTGACAGACATCAAAATAATCCAGCCAGACAGTAAGTCTTTACAAATGATGCAAAAAAAACTAGACAATACAGGGGGAAATTTTTTCAGCACTTCCACTGTACTCTACAAAAAATTAATTAGATCACAAATCTAAAAGTTAAAACCATAGAACTGCTAGAAGAAACAATGGAGAATGTTTTGTAACCTGAGTAGGAAAACTTTTTAAGACAGAAAAAGAAAATAATAACCATAAAGTCAAAAACTGATAAATTTCATCAGTCAGAAACTTATGATCATCACACAATATTATTAAGAAACTAAGACTGGGAATGAATATGTCAAAAATATCTCCAGCAAAGGACTAATATCTAGACTATACAGAAAAGTCCTACAATTCAGTAATAAAAAGATAATTCATGTTTAAAAAGATAAAAGGTTAGATATTTTAAAAATAAGATAAACAAATGGCCAACAAATAGTGAAAAAAGTACTTAACATCACTGGAAAATCATTTCCATCATTTCCATCAAGGAAATCAAATCAAAAACTAGAATGAGACACTACTACCTCACACCAGAATGGCTGAAATTTAAGACCAGCAATATCAAATATTGGCCAGGTTATGGAACACACAAATTTTTTATATATTGCTAGTAGAAATGACAAAAATGTATAGCCACTGTTAAAAAAAAAAAGGTTGACAATTCCTTATACATAAATCTATCCTATGACTCAACAGTTTCAGTCCTAGGCTTTTAGCCAAGAAAAACAAAAACATGTCAGCAAAAGACTTTTACAAGAATTCTAT